CTAACATGTCCTCCGTTTCATTGTTTCGGAAGTGAAAATGCCCTGTAGCTGTTCCCCCAAAGCCAAGGCGATTCAAAGTCGTGTTCGTAAACAAAATAAAAGCACATCGTCTCGCGTGCCGACGGAACAGGCATCGTTTGTGTCCGCAATTTACACGGTCAGTATAAAACATGGACTGCAGTCTGCGGACTACGGACTGGGTATAAAACACCGACTTAGGAATAAAACGTGGACTAAGCGTTAATGACTAGGTATAAAACACGGACTGCGGACTAAAGGTGGCCTACCAACTGCAGTCCATGTTTTTTACTGACCGGTCGTAACTAATATTACATAATACATGTATAAACGAGAACAAACCCTCTCGTATGTGCGTTCTTTGCGATCAATTCATTTGTTTTCGCTCCTGCTGGAGGGAGGCCAATATCACGCCTACCTAACAGCTCAGTCACAAAATGCTGTTCCTAGAATTTTTGCTTTTTTAACATACCAAACCTACCAAAACTCGAACGCACTCTTTAATCTACAATTACTACTAGTATGTTTATCATAAATTGTTCAGTATTCTTCAGCGTCTCCTTCCACCATTCTATGTGAAAGACAATTCGCTCATTAAAATTCTCAACAATTTATATCCAGGACATTCCAAAGTCTGTTCGCAACAAAGAGTAGTTTTTGTACATTGTACTTATAAACTGAAGTGCATATGACTCTTGTTTACTTTTAAACCAGTATCAAGCATTTTGCATATTGATTTGATAAGGGAATCTTTCAAGGTCTCATCATCCATAACAATGACATTCTTAGCTTCAATGATTTCATGGAGATTGCTTTTACTTGGGTCTGTAATCAGCCCATCTGGCAGATCTGGGGAAGCCCCCAAAATTTCCCTTTTCTTTTCGGCAAAAAATCTGCATTTTGTTTCTTGCACCTTCGTATATCCCTGTTGATGCATTATATCAGTGTACTTGTCCATTAATAGTTGCTAATTTTCTAGGCCATGATATTTCATGGCATGTGATTTCACGGCATGTGACTGATAGTCTTTGTTACACTGCAGTACTTCTTTGATATTTTTGTTGGTGATTTCACTGACGTATCAGCTTAGTGATTGCATCCTACCCTGTAACTCTTTGATGATGTCGCTGTACGAAACCCTTGCTTATACCATTCTTGGAGAGCAGATCGTGGTCTTGTTTGAGACTCTACCTTAGCATCTTTTGAAAAGATTTCTCTTTATTCTCTCACACCGATTATTAATTTTGGATGTTCTCTAAATTAAGAAGACTGAAGTCATCATTGAAAAATGAATCAGCCGTAGGAAATTTGTTTAAGTGCTTTCTCGCAATATTCCTGATATCCGGCACAATTTTTAAATTTACTTCCGTAGGTTCTTTCGAGCTCTTGCTTCATAAGCTTTGCTACTTGAAGTTACTTTAGCTTTGGTAAACCTATTCGCCGGATCAAGGTCGTAGATTTTGAAACTTTTCATGTCATTCAGAGTCCTATCCCTAAACCGACCGTGATTAAAGTTCCTTTAGGCAGTAAAATAGTGAGAACAGATTGTTTATTGTGCATATTAGAGAGACCATCGAAGGACGGCAAACATACCTTTCCAAAAGTTCCTTTTTTGCCACTTTGATTTATACGGCGACTTTTGAGCCAGAATTTCAATTGGCTTTAGTGTCAGTTTCTCAATCTGTTCATCGCTCACACTGACGCCGGGAATATTCTCAGAAGAGAGATTGACTTTCCTTCTTCATTCGCCATGTTGTTTTGATTATTTACCGCGAGGGCTATAAAGTCTCGTTTCCGTGCAACTTCCAGGTTAATTGGTGTATTCCATTGCGTCTTTGTGTGCTCCCGGTTATCTTTACAATTTCAGTCACTGCAGCGTCAGCTTGAATATCGCCGGGCATGATGCCGTTCAGAAGAGCACAAGTGATATAAGGCGAGGATACAAGCGTTTCTTTGTCGAAGAATCAGATTCTGAGTGACTGAAAGAGTTTCGAACGCTTTAACTTTGTTTGAAGAAGCAATAACGTTGTATTTTCAAAGTTGAAATGGCTTCCTATGACTGCGTTACTCAAGAGCGCATTCAGCAATTCAGTAATTTTTCCCTCTATTTCATTAACAAGTAATCGTAATGGGTCCTCGTAAAATTAAGTATTAATATCACTTGTGTTGTCAGAATTTGCTGAATATCAGCAACTTCTGAAAACACAAGTGATATTAATCCTTAATTTTACTCGGTCCCATGCGATTACCTAAACTAAACTATTTGAGTGTGCTGCACAGGGTCGAGTTTTGTTTTTTTTCCTTCAGTAAGGGTAATTAAGTGCTTAGAAACAATAGCTTATAGGATATTATAATCCAGTACATAAAATGCAGCTTACTTTGCTTGCTCACAGATAAAAAGGTCATCATCTTGATGTGCGACACCTGCTCCTTCAAATCAAAGGACGATGAAACTACTGTTATGCAAACCATGGAGCACATTATAAACAAAAAGGGAAAGGGCTTTTTAGCGTGCTTGAAAAATGGAAAGCTGTCTGTAGATCCTGATGTTTTGGTTCAGTGCCTGATGTCGACATCGCCATCGCCAGCGCCAGATTTTCAAGAAAAGAACAGAGATGCCCCAGGTGCAGCGGCCGAGTCGTATTCAAGTCAATTAACAAATCCTCCTATCTTTTTGAATGGGGAGCCTATCTTGCTGAGGAGTTTACTTTTTAATGGAAGAATATCCTATGCCTTAGAACATCTTCAACTATGGGACCCCACATTTACCGTTCCGGATCACATTAATCAAAATCTTTTTCAACAGTATCAGTACACGCCCGTGACTGGAGTCACAATCCTGCAAGGCACTGATGGCGCACTTCGATGGCCCGTTGATCCAAAGTTGATTGAAGTCTCGAGGTCAAGGTACGAAGGAATACAGATCGCTAACAACGAAACTCTCCTGTTAAAAACTCGTATCCGTAATGGACTGGTATCTTTTGAAGAAAACGATGTTCACTTTAGGCATGGAAATTGGCAAATACCTCAACACATCACGGAGAGTTTTAAAGCAGAATATAGTTCGACACCAAAGGGGGAACTTTGGATCATTTCAGACGACAAACAAAACTTACGATGCATCATTAAGATTGGAACATTAAATAAAATGTTCACTTACGTCAAGAAAAAATATAAAGCCGGTTATTCTTTAGTTCTAAAGTAGATTCAGTTATGCAAGGAAACATGTGAAACATTATATATCTAAACTGCAACCTTAAAAGACATGAGGAGTCATCGGGATTGAGTCTTCGACTTAGCCAGTCACAGTAATATAGCTATTCAGGCTTGAACAGGATGCGAACCCATGACCCCTGTGCGATACCGGCGCGGTGCTCTACCAACTGAGCTATCAAGCCAACTGGGAGCTGCAAGTGTATGTATACAAAGTGCGGGATAATCTCGCATATATATACACCTCACTCTCTTTAAAAAAATCTGACTGATTTATTGCAACGTAGCGAAATTTATTGCTACTTACATAGAAGAATTTAAAAGCGTATTAAATTATGCAATAGTTTCAATCAACAAAAACGGTACATTTCAAATAAGCAATAAACTATTAAAACCCCAAAAATGTAAACCTTATTGTTGGAAAACAAACTTGAAACTTCGAATAACGCTTTTTCACTATAGTCTAAACAAGCAACAGTGGCCAATTTGACAGTAATCGTAACAGGATACTCAGGTGCACTCCCCGGCTAAGAGCTACACGTTTGCCTAATAGGCCAATCTTAGTATATTAAAAATATAACTCGGCTCCAAGGCTTGAGGGAACAAAACAAAATTTCTTGATACTCCTCCCGCACTAAACCTCCATGTAGGTAATTTCACTCCCGCAAGCTTCGGAACCAAGTTAGAATTTTACGATACAAATGAAAATTGGCGTATTCTCAGCTGTCACACCCTACGAACAGATTGTTGTCGTATTTCTGTAATTCTAAAATTTGTTGTCACAGTTTTTTTACCATTTCGTGATTTGCCGTTCGCCAACAAACAACCCTGTTTAATTTTCCCATTCTTTCCTCTGCTTAGTGTCCACTCTTTGAACTCCAATAGAGCGCTTTCACTCACTTGGCCAGCTGCCATGCAAATGAAAGTGTTTACAGTAAATATGACCCATAGGATTGGTTTGGAACACCAACATGGCCGCCGTTTCATTGTTTTGGGAATGGCTGCAGTGACTTCATGTGAAAACACTCTATACATTCTACCCGGGACGTTTTGATAGCACTCCCGGATCAGGAACTTGGCGCCTGCTAACACAGGCTAGTATATTTCACACACCTCGATCGCAGGCTCTGTCTCCTTTGCCTCCCCTATCAGGAAGGCAAAGAAGAGAGAGCCTGGGATCCAGCTACGATGGTTGCGTGATGTTTCATGGTTGATCGGTTTTCTCGGAATTATTGCGCACAATTAATGCGCACTGGACTGTTTACGAAGGTTTTTCTGAGAATAAAGAACCGTTTTGAAATTCGTAAAAGAAAATGCTTCAGCCCTTTGAAGCAAAACAAGGCTATTAAAAATCAGCTATAAAAATAATTGTACTTAAATTTGACTAAAGGAAACAATGGCACAGCCGCGCAAGTTTCATCTTTTTAACTGCGATAATGTCTACCAGCTCGTCGAAGATTTGTTGAATGCAACGAAAGCGAAGCTTGGCTTCGAATTCACAGTAGAGGAGCATAGTTTCACTCTATCTGAAATGTCTGAGTTGAGTACGAAGACCATTCCTGAAATGAAGATGGATTTTGTAATGTTTGTTGTGCATGCGCACGAATCTGTTCTACTCATCAACAATAATAACTTGGAACACGGATACGCCAAGGTTTACAGAGCTTTACTGCAAGCGACAGGTAAATGTTAGACATTAGAACGGAAAACAATACTAAAACTCGATGGTCTAGGTACCAGGGTTTCCATAACATTGTAGCTATAAAATCAATGGAAGCAGAATTTGTAAGAGACCTATATTTGAGGGTATTAAAGGTCTTACGCTTTAATAATATACTGTTCATGAGATTGACTACAAACAAAATATGAACTTTTCACCGCGCTCCGTCGTACAGGCAGTGATTCACTGCGTACTTTGTTAATCATAAGAAACCCAGATTGATCCGATTTTCGGACAAGAACGACCAATTCATGGTTTCAAAATGGTTTTTGATACACGAAGTGTCTTGTTTCTGACTATTTTGACTTGGTTTAGTCGTACTAACACAGATATACGCAACAGATCTAGCCTCAAACATTTGCCATATTTTCAAGAAATCAATGACTGTTTTAAATTCAAACTTGCAAAAATATTTTAATTGTTCACCGTCGACGCCTAATAGATTTCATTGCAAAAGAGCGAGTGAATTTTTCTTTCTTGAATTTTTTTTGGCGGGGAG